CCCGAACAACCCACAAGAACTATTAGATCCCAGCCGTGAAAGGCTTTGCGAATACACATTATAAACACTATGCTTACACTGTACTGAAATGCTTCTTTGCAAATGAAGAGTGTACATTCTTCATTTAAAAGGTGCCAAGCATTTTTGTTTTTCTTTTAAATTTTCATTTCAAATAGAACAAGAGTTATAGAAGCGGAAATGCAGCAAAACCAGAACTCCCTATCAAGAAATACACAAATAATCCTACCTTCTTTATTTTATGATACAACATGCTCCCTCATGCTGTTCCATGTCAGAAATTATGATAAAGCCTCATGCGTTATCTAGCTTGGAGAAAGACATCTCTGTTGAGAGATCTGCATAAACTGGACACTCAGGTTTATGTATATGAGATGCTCTTATGGACATTGCTTGTCTATGACTTATAGGGACTTTATATACATGCAACAATGACAATCTTTTACTGGTAATATCTTGCGCAGTCCTAAGCTTCGGAGTAGAAGCCATTGGAACTATAGTAACATACAAAGCCACTGCCTTTTCCAGAGAGTTTCATTTTCATAATTGTTGGGAGAAATGCAGTGGGATACAGATATTTAGGACTTCTCCCTCTCCATTTAACTTGTTAGTGTCTCAGTTCCACCAAGGTATTTAATTGTGGAGTTTGGCTTTCTTTAAAAAAATGCTTTGAGAGGCAAACTGGTATCTCTCTCTTCTTTTTGTGTTCCCCTCTCCAGAACAAGACAATTCAATTCATTTAACCAACTGGAGACTTTTAAAAGAAGTCTTACTAATACATACCTTTTGGGCTTTTACACTGTTCCTGCTATCAAACACGTTAAGGTTCTATTCAGAGACACCATTATACTACAGCTCGGGGTAGTTTAGCAGGCTGGATAGCTCAGTGGTTTAGGTCAGTTGTCCCAAACCTTGGGCCTCCAGATGTTCTTGGACTACAGCTCCCAGAAGCCTTCACCACCACTTCTGCTGGCCAGGATTTCTGGGAGTTGAAGTCCAAGAACATCTGGAGGCCCAAGGTTGGGGACCACTGGTTTAGGTATCTACAGGCTGGGAGTTTGGGTCCCCACTGTGCCTCGTGTGAATAGAGCCAGCTTTGAGTGGCTCTTGGGCAAGCTGCACAGTCCCAGGCTGCCCCCAGAAGGAGGGAATAGTAAACCAGTTCTGAGTATTCTCTACCTGAAAAACTCTGGCAAGGGTCACCATAAGTCAGAATTGACTCGATGATACATGATTATTATAATTAAGGCTAATTCAATTGTATTTGCAGTGATGTCTAAATCAGGACAATGTGGTCTGCAACCCATCCATTGCATCAGAGTCTGAAATCATAGTTAGAAGTACATTTGAAAGCCATTATTTATGCCAATGATTGTTTGGTGTAACATGAATTGACAAAACATTATTACAACTACTCCTTAGCCTCCAGAGTAGCCTAATAAAATATGTGTTTAGGACAGTTAAACATCTGTAAATAATGGCTAGCTTGTACTGTCTGAGTTCTAAACAAGGTTGGAACAAGACAAAATTTCAGGCACAGAACCTATTTTGCTCTTAATTTCTGCAGAAAAGCATAATTTCAGACAAGGAAAAAAACTGGAAGGCTTCATCTGTCAAATTTCAGCTGTTCACCTTTTTAGTTCTGCAATGGGGTTACTGACAGTTGTTCAGTAACTGAACAGGACCACCTGCTAACACAGCAGTAGTTCCAAATGGTCTGCATTTTGGTGACATGTACTGTAATGCAAATTCATTCATAATGCAATAGTACTTCAGGTCTTGATATGCACAAAAATGGTACAGAACTGAAGTGCCCTCACATGATTATCAGCTCGTATCCATCCATATGAACTTTTAAAATCATGTAAACAATACTGGACAGAAGACAGTTTAAAATATTGTTTACAATGTATAGATCAAAACATCAGACTGACAACCCCAACACTGGCTGCTCTTAAGAAAAACCAAGATTACCATCTGAACTCAGAATCTATTTATCATTTCAAACCATGGTTTCAATTCCCCCAGACTGAAGTCTTAAGGCAATTGTTTCATATGTTTCTGGGTATGGGACTGCAGCATCCACTGCATTTTTGTTTTGCAATACAAGTAGAGAATCGTTATTTCTACAGAGGATTTAGACAATTCTCAAAATTACTTGCTGTTAGCTATGCTAGATGAAGCTGCTGAAATATGTGGAGCATCAACACTCCAGTCCTGCTCCTATGTTTGAAATCCAGTGCTGGCAACCCTAATTTGCTGACCCTGCTTTTCTAGAATGGGGCAAAAAGTCCTAAAACATTTTTAAAGGGTTTTAAATTCATAAACGACTCTAGAGTGGTACTCAGAGTAAAACCAACCAACTAACCTGCTTGTATTATATAATCTGAGCAAGAATACATAGATGAGCAATAATGAATAGATAAATATAAAATATATGCAATCTGTACCCTCCAATATTTGTTTAATATTGCATGTTGATCACCATTTATCATTATATAATACTGTTCCTTCAAATTACTAATTCTGTATCTAGGAAAGAAGTGAAACTTCTCTTTGATACAGTTGCCAAAGACTCAGCCATCAAAGCAAAAAGCTATCATTTGCTGAAGTCACAGGGTTTTATTACTCCGTGGGGGGGGGGGGAACCCATAAACTTTTAAATCCTGGCCTGATCCTGCAAGCCTTGTTCACAGAACTTGCCCTTTTACCCTTTCTCATCGAAGAAGCCCGGTCAGATTATTTATACCAGAAACTACTTGGAGGAATTTAAAAAATGGCTTGTGGATCTTTGCAAATAGTTGTAAACTCCCTATCTTAAAATGTCTCCTCATTTGGGGAAAAATAGTGACAAAAATGTAAACTGGTCATCAGACAACTGTGATCAACTCAGGCCTAGTTAAGAAGAACAGCTGATAAAGTGCTAGAAATCCATTTCTCTATTCTCTGACTCCACGCTGCAGGAAATAGATCACATGAATTAATGAATTGTCTAAATAACAATTAGAAAACTTACAGATGGAAAATTAGCTCTCAGTGAGAGGGGATCTAGCCTTGTTACCATCATATCCCCCCCGCCCCAAAAGAAGCATTCAACCATACAGTTTTCCCACTTGGAAAATAAAGAGTGTTGCTGTTCTTATGTGTCATCAAGTCACTTCTCACTCACGTCATTCCTATGAATTAATGATCTCCAAAGGTCCTTTTATCAACAGTCCAGCTCAACTCTTGCAAACTAAAGGCCATGTCTTCATTTAAGTCAATCTAATGTCTTCTTTGCGAACTGCCTTTTTCTAGTATTTTAACTTTTCCTGTGAGCCTTGCCTTCTCATAAATTGTCCAAAATAGGATGATCTCAGTTTACTATAATGAAGTGTATGGTTCAGTTCAGCAACACACTTTAACTGAAACATACACTCCAGTTGTAACACCTGCTCTTTGTGTGAACTAGGCTTGAGAAGCAAAGGTGGAAATTTTAATAAACAGTGGGGAAAAGAAATTAGCACTGTATATTCACTGACAAAAGACATTTACCTCTACAATATTATTACATTTCTTAGACAAAGCAAGAGCAATGGAAAAGACGTGGTGAGGCAGTACCACGTCTGCAGCTTTCAAAAGCATTTTGTATGGAAAAGTCTTGAGATCATCACAGTTTTATTGAAAGTTAATAGCACTTACGGTAACAATGACAGCTGGCAATGGCACTGCATTTGAAAATTACTAAATGTGCTGTCTTTATAAAAAGCCACACTGGCTAGCAGATACTACCACAGACCCTACACCTCGTGGACTAAAGGGGACCACACACACCAAAAGAGTAGGGGACAGCTTCATCAGTCAATTAGCTTCCTGTGCCTCCAGATAAATCTAGACTTGGCACAGGTTTACAAGCAAGTGTGTGCATGTTCTAAGCTGGGCTCTTAGGTACATTTTGGGAATTTTTGCTGGTAGACTTAGAAATAGCGTTAGAATGTTGTGGGTTAAATGCTCTACAACACTGCTCCAGTTCAATGCTAATGTTAGAGAACTATTCCCTGGTTCAGTAAAACGGGTCAATCCTCCAATGTGGAGGGGGAACGAATAAATAATGATTCCCAAACCACAAAATGAAAATCATACTCCCTTACTGTCATCAAATTACCAGACTGAAAAAATTAAAGGAGCAGCAGATAAGAGAACTTCCTGCCCACAGCTGGGCTTGAAGCCTAATGCTTTAAAGAGAAACATGAAAGAGGCATCAGCCACAAAACCGCCCAGCCTCTCTTGCCTTTATCAAACAACATTTCCCCAAATAAATCCATATTTGCACTGATGAAAGGGATGGGGCAGGCAGACGGAGTTATCTATCCTTAGGGCATTCTGAATTTAAATAGTACGCTGCCATCTCTTCAAATCTGCCAATAGGTTTCATTCACAGTTTACAAGAATAGAATAAATTACAACAATATTCGGATTTGATAAAGCCAGTATAGTCTAATGGTTAAGAACGTCAGATGAGGAAAAGGGACACCCAGCATTGTCATAAAGTTTACTCGGTATCCTCAGGCTAATTAGTATTATTCAGCCAGATCTATGTTATAGTAATCTTTCTGGAATAAAATAGGCAGAATGGAACCATTTAAATGTGCCTGGCTCCTTTAAATTTTACAAAGGAGCCAGGTACATTCCTCTCTGTTTTTTCTTGCAACCCCACTACCATCACAGGCACATTTAGCAAGGAGCCAACAGAGGGCATTTTCAGTAGCTTCTCCCAGGCTTTGGAATTCCTCGCCAATAGTTCAGTATTCTGAATGGTGCCTGGAAACAGCACAATTAATCTGTTTTAGAAAGGAAGCTCCCTATAACTAGCCCCAGTCAGCAATCTGGCTGAACTATTTAGAATCAGCTAAAGTTCTCCAGTGCAGGCCTGCGTTGACGATATTACAGTAATCCTGTCACAATGTAATTATATCATACACCACTGTAAGCCAAATCAGACATCTCCAGGAATGGGCACAGGCCATGGTGGAGACCTAGGCATCTAGACTCTAGGATGAATCCAGGAGTACACCCGAGTTACAATCCTGAGTTTTCAGGCGAAGCATAACCCCATCCCACCCAGGTTGAATCCCTATTTCTTGATCTGCCTTTCAAATGAGCAGGAGCAGCGTTGTCTTGTCTGGATTAAGCTTCAACAGGTTCCATTCCTGGGTATGGGCAGTGGGTTAGAATGGAAACAGATTCCTCAGATATAGATAGAAAGGAGTGCTAGAGTTCAGCTTCATCCGCATACTGCTGACATCAAACTCCAAAACTCCAGACAGCCTCTCCCATATGTGAAATAGCCTAGGGGACAAGGCAAATCCTTGGGCCAATACACAGGCCAATGCTCAAGGTATAAAACAGGAGTCCTCCAATACCACCTCCTGAGATCACAATCTAGGAAGAACCACAGCCACCAAGGCCTATTCCAGAGAGGTTACCCAAAAGGATACCATAGTTGATCAAGGTCCAGGAGAACAGACAGGAACATAGTCTCCTGCCCAGTTCATCATGTGAGTCACAAGATGTCAATTTTTTTTCCCATCCCATACCCAGGCATGAAACCAGGTAATTCACTTCATCCAAGGATCTCTGGAACAGGGGGACCACTACATATTCAAGCATCTTTCCGAGGCATTGAACATTGGAGACTGATCAGTGGTTATCCAGCAAGGTGGGGTCTAAGGAGCCTTTTTTCCACCAAGGGTCTAATAGCTGCCCTTTTTTAGGTGGATTGGAATCCTGTCTTCTTGAAAGGAAAAATTCACTACTCCCTTTACCCTTTAAGTCAGATCTTCCATAGCTGCATTGATGAGACAGGACGGGTAAAAATTTAGCATGGCAATGGCAGTCTTCACCTCTTCAAGGATTCTGTCTGTCAGTGACAGCATCCAAGTTGGAATGGACTGAAGCAATTTTATCCATGAAGTGCTGTTCCATTTCTCATTAGTATAAATCCTTTCTATAAATCCTGATGTTTTGCTTCACTGCTCTGGTCTACATTGTAGTACGGTAGGCAATGAGACTCACAGCAAAACTTGGAACAGCAATTCAGTTTTCAAGTTACCACTTCCAGAAACTCTTATCCACAATAATCACAGATAATGTTGATTGGGAGATTCTAAGAGGTGTAGTCCATGAAAATAGTTTTGCCAATCTGTGCTTCCTAAGTACATAAATTCCTACAAACATTTACTAAGGTGTAAGACCTATTTAACTTAGTAGGATATACATCTCTGTAAACTGTTGAAGGAACATACCAAGACATGCTGAATTAAGTCTTAGAAAAGAATATCACAATTTTGTTATCACTGTTTGAAACCTCTTTCTAGAAATTCATGATTTATACTAACTATAAGCTCAGAAGGACCACAAAGATGATTACATCCAACCTGTTGCCAAAGCAGAAAAGGTACGTAACATCAGAGCAAAGGGATATTCCCCCTTTTAATTACAATTCCCATAAATCCTTCAGCTTCCATTCATTCTTCATTGCTTCCTATGTACCATTTGCAGGCAACTTTGCAAACAGATTTCAGTTTTCTAAAACATAGCCAGGTTTTCCCTCAACTACAAAATGTACACGTGAATTCAGAGAGAATGAGTATTTATTTCATATATTTATGAGCATCTGTCAATTGGTGGATCGCTAATCACACTGAAAATCTCTCATCTTGCAAAACAATCATCCAGAACAGTGACTGCATATGGTTTGCCTTATATTTTTGGTTCCATGAGGAACGAATCTTACTTTGTTTTCAGTGAAAGCTCAGAATCTGGCACAACAGATGAGCATGCCTGGGTAACATGTCTGAAGTGTGGGTAAAAATCCAGCCAAACAGGCAATATTTAGGGTCATGTGCACCCACCACTGTATTATTTATTTAATCAACTTCTATATCATGTCCCAGATTCTAACAATACCTAAAAGGTAAGACTTGGAAAGTTAGGCTACATAAACTGTTGAATGTGTATCTTGTCTGAATCTTGTGCACATCTGCTTTGTAAACATTCGGATCCTTCTGAATGAAAGACTGATCATAATTTGTAAAGTGGTGCAAGAAGTTATGGTTTACAGTTGAGTACTGTTCTGTGTTTCCTTGATCTGTGTGCAATGAATGCAGTGAGTTCAAGAAGATCTTTCTTCTTATAGGGAACTAATCTCCAATTTCTCCTGAAGTGGTAAACATATGCCTGGGCTATATTATTTCAGGCTGCTGGTAGAAAAAACCTGGCTATGCAAGAAGGATTCTGGAGGCTGTACACTAAAAAAGCAATATATCCAAAAGCAACATATATAGGGGCCCACATGAATGAATGGTTCTCTATCAAAACAAAATAAAAGAAATAAACATTCCTGGACAATGTATTTCTGGAAATGGGGGTCCTCAGGGGTCTCTGACTGAGAATTCTCAACTGCCAAAGAAAATTACCATGGATTTTTTAAAAAAGAAACCATGACATTTTAAGCCATTAGAATACTGACACAGTAAATTAATGGTGTAGGTATATCCACCAGCAGTCATACTGACTGCTATTACTCTTAAATAAATGAGTTGCAAATGCTTCTAAATAGTGGGAGAGCTTACCAGTAAGCAAGAGACGGGTGTTCCTTAAGTGCTTGGGTTGGAAGAGCTGGAAGTTTCTTTAAATCAGTCCTTACAACTTCATTGCTAGAAAAGAGAGAATCCGAAAAAGGAGAATAAGTCCAGAAGAAAATTTCATTAACCATGAACGTTTGCTATAGCTTGACTGAATAGTCGGGCTTAAACATCTGTTCTCCCTTAATGAAATGCTGTGGGGGCAGCCCCCTCCTGCTTCTCTTTATTTATTTTGCATTAGGGAGCATAAGAACCTTTCCAGTACTGTATAGTACCAAAATTGCAGCAAAGCTATCACAGATGTCTAGGTTTCTTTCATCCTCCATTTCACAATAGCAGCTCCGAAGATAAAAAACACAACAGTGTGTTTTCAGACAGAGCAAGCCTGTGGGGAAATCTGCCTGATGTAGGAATTAGGGGGCAGGGGAAGATACACAAGATATTCTCTTAGCCACTTCCAAAGTGCTGCAGAATGCAGAGAATTAGACCTCAGCCTGGTACTCCTGTCTTAACAAGCCTCTCTTTCCTTTACCTCCCAGGGTTGCTGGAAGAAGGGGGCGGGAATAGCTTTTGTGTGAGAAAAAACTAGGGGAAATGTGAACCTTAGCACTACAGAGGGAAGAGAACTATCTGCAAAGGTTCAGAAAAACAGAATTAATAAGTTGAATTCCTAGAACAGTAGAGCAACATTGCAGAGTGAGTGGGTAGCATTGCTTACTTATATTTTGACTGGGCCTTAGTTGACTTAAAGCATGCCATTTTCATCAATTAACTGATCTCCTAAATCTCTGTATGAACATCAATTTATCTCTAAACAGAAAAGCATTCTTTGTAGAAGGACATGAATGATATTTAGTGTGTCTCTTTTAAATATGTCACCTACAGTGTTTGAAAGTATGTATTTTAAAAATCTGCAGCTTACATGGCAAAGAACTGTAAACTGGCCAAAATGATTGCTCATCTCCCAGCCCTAGCTTGGATTCTTTCCAGCTTGTTTTTCCAGGGGTTCAACAACCACTCTCATATAGTATGCGAGTATCCAAATATATAAATACCTTCTCAAAAGAGCAGGAAAACTTTTAAAGGTCAGAAAACAACACAGTACACTTGCCAATAATGATGACACATGCCTGATTTAAATTAAAGACCAACAATAAGCAAACAAACACAAAGGTAGCCCCAAATTCAATTACTAGTCCAAACTTGAACAGACCTATGGAACCAATGGGATGTGCATACGTTCTGAATTACCATTATCAGTAGGTCTATTCTAGTTGGAACTAGCCAGCAATACATTTAAACATTTTCAGTCTGCTATACTAACATATATCGGGGAAGCCTATGTCTGTGAAATTAGTGCTTGGACAAAGGCTCCTGGCATGATGATTGAAACTGAGTAAGGTACTTGCAATACACACAACAAACCACATTCCACACAAAATGGACAATTGCTGTTGTGGTACAATGTGAAGGGGGGGGGAGAAGAGGAATTTACATGTATAAAACAGTGGTTTGAATGCTGGGCAAGTTGCACAGACCTAAAACAGAAGCAATGTTTTTAGAAAACATGTGTAGTCTACAGATTAAAAACAGATGGATGTTCGTTTTAAGAAGAAAAATATCTAGAACAGCACCTAGTATTCAGTTTAAATAATATCACAATTTATGTAACTGTTCTTGCTGAGACAAGCAAGTCTCCCTTCATCTACAATAGATATCAGTTTTGCTTTGTTACTACACTTTTGAAAAGGTGGAAAAGCCAATGTTTATATTCTAAAAGGCAGCTAAATCTTTCTTTGCCTCTCTTTTCCTGAGCCAGCTGTCACCAGTACAGGCCTCTTTGGTTGTTTGCCTAAATCAAACAGGGGAATGTCTGGGGCTGCTGGATAGCTCAGTGGTTTAGGTTGTTGGCTGTGAAGCCAGAGGTTGGGAGTTCAATTCCCCACTGTGCCTTCTTGACAGGGGCTGGACCTGATGATCCATAATATCCCTTCCAGCTCTGCAGTTGTAATGAAGAGCAGGGAGTTTCTAGAATACAGATTACAAGTCAAAGAGACAACTGCCATACATATATAAATCCCTATTAATATAATACCTTCTTGAAGTTTTGCATGTCAGAACCTTTGCTGAATCACTAGCAGCAGAATAAAATTTCCCATTTTTAGATCCCTGTTTCAGAGGGTGGTTTTTAAATATCATGACAGAGATGGGCACAAAACACAAAAATTGTGATCCAAGTTGATTTGTGATTCATCAAGGTCGACAAATTGCAAATGTAAAAACTTCTTGCAATGAACAGATTTGTCAATTTGTTTCTGACTTTAAAACCATATAAAACACCCCCTTCCCGACAGCTAGAAACACCAATTTTCAGGGAAGCTTTCCCTGACTCTCCTCTACAAGCCCTGCAAGTTTGGCGAAGTCTGATTTTTGGACATCTGATTTATACACCCCCAGGCACCTAGAGACACCAAAAACAACAGAGAAGCTTCTGATGACTCTTCTCTACAATCCCCCCAGGATTGGTGAAGACTGGGTTTCAGATGTCCAAGTTATATATCCACAAAGTGGGTCCCCCAACAAAGTGCTCTTTAGCAGCAACCCAATCTCCACCAAGAGTAAAGGAAAGCTTCTCTGTCATTTTGGTGTCTCTAGGTGCCTGGAGGGAATTTTCCTGGGAGGCCCTCTTTGTGAGTGTATACCTTGGGCATCTGAAACCCCATCTTTCTAAAAATTCCAGGGAATGTAGAGGAGGGTCAGAGGAAGCATCCCTGCTAATTTGGTACCTCTAGGTGCCAGGGGGGCTGTTTTATAGTCAAATGAATCAATGAATTGAAAATTGCTAAACATTCATTGATTCAGAGTTGTGGGGGCACTGATTTGTACAAATATGAATCAAAGGATTAGCAAATTTTTTGAATGAATTTGGTGATTCATTTTTTTTAAATTCATGCCAAATATCTAATCATAAAGCCAACTCTGGATTGTCCAAACAAGGAATTCCTGCTTAGAGTGGAAGTAAAGTATTGGAAGGCTGAAGCATGTAACGTGACAGTTGTTGAAACACTTTTTCTAAGGGCCAAAGTAGTACATGACTTGATAGCAACATGATCTTATCTATGTTTCTGTCAAATTCACATGTAAAGTATACGAGTTTTCAAAAAAAGAATTTAAAAACATGGAACAAAGAACAGAAGTGAAGTAAAACCACCCCTTCCTGTTATGCTTAAAATATTACTGCCAATATGTATCTGCTGCCTGAAGTGATCCAAACTGAGTGCAAACTGCTTGAAGTTGAAGATGGCCAAGTGCAGTGAGGCAGTGAAAGCAGGTATGAGGAAATTGTTTCCCATAATATTCTATCTCTGTCAAAAATGAAAACACCATTTTATATGTAAATAGGATGTATACATGAGTAAATTACAGATAGCTGACACATCATGTTTGGTTTGTTCACAAGTCACTTCATGCATCACTGGAAGGAGTGCAACATCAGTTAAAGAGTCTTCAGTGTCTAGCCGTAGCTGGAATTTGCTGAGGTTAAGGTTGGGGTTATGGGCCAAGGAGCCTTCTCACTGCTCTGATAGTGGGAGGCAGAGCATTTACTGTCCTGGACATTATGTGTTATGCTGTGGCTTAGGCCTATAGGCTCTTTTGAAAACGTGTTTTTGTTTCTCTGTGTGACCTATGACCACAAAACGCTGGCTAGATTGTTCCTATGAGAAGATAGAGTGGGATGGCCACCTCAGGCAACTAATTATGATTGTCAAAAAGGAGCACCATTTAATTTGTTGTTACTGTATTTTTACTGCTAGGGACAGAAGGTGAGATTTCCTGCTTTCTGTATCAAAGTAATTTCGATGACATCTGTGAAGATCCTCAGTCATCCAGGTGAGGTTATCTGGAAGTTAAGTCATGGCAACTGGACTTACATTCCTTACATGACAGGTGTGTCCGAAAAGCTCAAAAGGATTTTTGGTAAACATCGCATACCCGTGCACTTCATACCTACAAACACACTAAGCCAAAGAATCATCCACCACAAAGACCAGATACCAAAACACAATAGGAGCAATATAGTATATGCCGGGGTCTCAAACATATGGCCCATTTGCAGCCGGCCAGATGATAGCCTGCCCCTCCAAAGTGCCCACACATCTTCTACTGTCAAGAGTCAAAAAAAGCCTCGCGTAGCTCGCCGGCTCTCTCCCAAGACAGTGCCTCTTGCACCCTCCATCCGGAACTGCAGCCTGCCAGCCAGCCCGCAC